TAAATTGTAATGTTTTATTTAAGTGAAATAGTTCACAATAAAATTTATATATTTTGTAACAAAAATAAAATGACTTTGTAAAGTTTGTTTTCAAAACGTTTTAATAAATGTTTTGGGAGTTTTCAAAAGAGTGTCTTTATTTGTACTCGTCCTTTGATAGATCCGTTGGAAGTTTTTCATTGTACCTCCTCTGGGTGTGTGCCCCAGGAAGTTATTTTTTTCCCATTATCCAGTATTGAGAGGACTTGGGAAAGGAGATCCAGCAAGCACCACTCCGTGGAGACAGCCCAGCTCCGAGAGAGGGAATATGGTAGCTGGTGACTGGCATGGATCCCATTGGCAGAAATAACTGCTGGTCGGCACCTGTCGTCGAAGGTATAGAGGACAAAACATTAAGAAAATGACCCAGCTGGGTTGGCAGCTCACATGACATAACTGCCCTTCAGGCAGAAATATGGGTGGTTAATAAGGGCATAAAGTTATGATGGTTTAGACTGTACCTTCACCGTGTGTACCTTACCTTAAACGGACTGGGCCACCCTCAAATGATGAGTTTGCTTTCTGTTTTCATTGACACGCAATGAAAAGCACATTCTGGAGAAAGTTTATTAAAAAAAAACCCTCTAGAAAGCCAGCTATCCATGGCACCTAAAGATATTGTACAGGTCGAATCTCTTCAGTTTTGAGCAGAGGAGATTGAGGCAGCCTAAGTATTTTGAGTCCAGGCAGGCTAACAAAGATATTCAAAGGGATCAGTAATACAGAGGACTGGAGCCACGAAAATACATTTTAAAGAAATTAAAATGTATTTAAGGCTGGGAGCTGGGAGCTTTTACTCAAAGGGTGGTGGATATGTGGAACTAACTGCCCAGACAGGTTGTCGAAGGGGATTATTGATGATCTTTCAGGAGACGTAATGGGATGAGATCAATTAGATACTAGAAGTCAAATGAGCACATGGGCTGAATGGCAACCTTCTGTTTTAATCTAATTGTGGCTAATTGTGAAGAGCTAAAGGGAAACCCCATACTATGCTGAGAAACCATATCAGTTCAATTTGCTACATGAAGTTGGTCAACTTAGGGCATGAATGAAAATCAACAGAAGGCTTTCCGTTTACAGAATAACCGAAGAAATGCATGCTTCTATCCACTTGTGCATCTTCAGTAGACACATTGGTAAAGTTTGGTAAAGAGAGGACCTGCGGCTGGGCTGAGTAGGAACTTGGCCAGATTGATTAGCGAGATTAGTACCCTGAGATCGCGTGACAAAAACCAGTCAGGACCATAGTTTCGTGTCTCGGGTCTTTTATCACTGTAACCTGGACTTCTCAGCTTTCTTTCAGCCCAGCTCTCAGTCACTTAACCAAATAATTAATCGAGCTGATAAGGATTAATTAACGACCTAAATGTTTTAAACTCTTAAATAACCTGTTACAATCCGTTACAATACCTGAATAACCAGTGGGAATTTGGGCTCCT